TAGATGGCGCTTGCCAAACTCGAACGATAAGTGACACTGGTACATATGCCTAATATCGCGTGAACGAAAAAGATACGCTAAGCTCTTTTTCAGATATTATGGTTATTTGTAATTTTCCATAATAATTACTTATTAACATAAATATCCGCTAACTGACTAAACAAATTATATATTGTATAGGGCTAGTGGTGCCTGATCTACTCCTAATATATGTACAAATATAAAAGTCGTGCTGCTCATGCATTTGTAATTATTATTATTATTTTAATACCAATAAGTCCTACAGGGGGCATGAGCCCGTGCGTAGGTGGCACTTACAAAACAAACAACATAACCATCTACAATAGTAGAGAAATGACATGTAGTTAATAGTAAGATACATATATTATACAGTAATTTAAAATTACACAAACACTGGCAATCTTCTTACTTCTGACTTTAATCTCATCTTGAGAATATGCGTTTTAATTTGTTCATTTTTAAAGGCAGGAGGCAAATCGTTGAAACACTTAATTAGCTTCACAACAAAGAAATATTATAGAACTAAAACTAAAACTAGAAAGATACCCTTGAAATAATGAATAATAAGGCGACGAGTAGTTGCTGCACTTCGAGACGTGTATATGATATACAGGTGTGCTATCGGATCGTCGCGTGCGGGCGTAGTCGGAGAGAAGGAGGTGCACTCGAGCATCTCTCTCTCAATCTAGCTCTCGTGATTCGCACTGCACCTGTATACAATGGACGGATATAATATAAGCGATACAGATAGCTGTCGAGCAAAGAGGCGATACGTAGCAGCAGCAGCCGCCTATGATAGTAGTAGTGGTGTCCTCTCGACGGCCTCTCCAAGATTGAGATAGGTCGCATATCGCTCGAGTTCAACATTAATCTGCACAGATATCCTTGCATCAAAGCCCTGACTGTAAGTGTGTATGTGCGTGTGTGTGCCGCACCGAGATCGAGTCTACCCTCTACCTCCCCGCTTTCGACGACGGTATAATTGCATATTACAGCAGCAGCAGCTACTGCGGCGTGCACAGGCACGCTCGAGATCGAGTCGGCCGTATATATTATATAATACTTATAATATCGAGCCGCAGTTCGTCCGTATGCGTGTAGCAGCAGCAGTATAGATATATAAATGTGTGCGTTTACATATCGGGTACGTATGAATATGCAGCGCAATGCAAACTTGATTAAAATCCGAGACTGCAGCTCCGAGAAATTCGATCCGTCTGCTGCTGCATGCGGTCCAAACACAGCTATATTACACTTATATATAGCCGAGTCTGGTCTGTACGTCTGTGTGTCTGTGCTTACAGCTCGTGCTGCGCGCCCGCCGTCGAGTATATAGTGCAACGTGTACACTTTGCCCCACACCGAAAAACCGCCTCGAGGCTTAGCAAAAGAGTTACACAGACATTTCTCAATCTCTACGTCTGACAGCTTCAAAAAAAAGGTAGGAGAGAGCAAAGAAAAAAAAAAGAAAAAAAATAAGCCCAACGCGTGCGAGCATAATGTATCTACGCGCGAGGAGCCTAAGTGGCACTTAGCGCGTGCCGCGCCATGAGATCCTCGAGGAATTCTCGGCTTTTTTGTAAGGAATTTTCTTCCCTTTTTGGTTTTTTCCTCTCTTTCTTTCGTTCGGAAAATATACAGCCTCTCTGTCTCTCTCTCTTCGCACACGCGGCGTACTAGTACACTTAACATTACATATACGCGCGCAGTGTGTCTACCGACTGTTTCGGAAACATAAATCTCGAAGCTGCTACGTGTTATAACGTCTTTCTTATGTCTTTTCTCTTCTCGCTTCTTCTCTCTCTCTCTCTCTTTCTCTCTCGCTTTTTTCTTCATTTTTATTTTTTGATGTTCACTTTTTCGCTCAGAAAAACGTGTGTTACACGCGCGCTTGTACACATCGACGTATTTCCCATTCTCTCTGCAGCCGAGACGATGCATCTCTTCGGCGTGATGCACATAAGGCGCGCGCGCGCGTGCAAGTGTTGTCTTAGATTTTGAAAAACTTGAACTTCGCCGCGTGTATTATGTAAACTTTTCGTGTTTCCTCGGCATAACGACGTACAAAGCTTTGTACTAAAATAAAAGCATAAAAAAAACGACGACGACAACAACAACAACAACAGCAACAAAGACGAGCAACGCCTCGTATAAAGCGCAAACGCGAGGCCTGACCTTCCTTTTCGAAAAAAAATCTCTCTGCACAACGGTGCACAGCTGTGCACATCGCATCTCTTTTTTACACACACACACGTACATAACTCGCCGTGCATTTCTCTGCATGTGTGTGTGTGTGTGTGTGCGTGTGTGTGCAAAAGAGATGAGAATACACGGTAGGCACTTGTGTTGACTGAAAGCTAAAGGCCAAGCTCGAGCCCTCCTACCGTGTCTGTGTATACATGCGAATATAGAGTCTAGAGGTTTTGCTCTCTGCCGAGCTTATCACGCGAGACAATTTTCTCGCTTCTCTTTACGACCTATGCCACTACTTTTTTTCTTTTTCTCTTTCTTTTTTCCTTTTTTTTTCTTCATTTTAGCAGTTTCCGCGTGTGCCACCGAAAAATAGAGCATAAAAGGAGTGTAGTCGAGAGAGAGGGAGAAAGAGACTGAAAGCTAAGCTCGCCGCTCGCGAGTAGCTTTATTTTTGAGATTAGGATGTATACTCAATATATACACACATACACACTGTAGTAGCTAGCTATACAAGCAGCCCATGCACATGTATAGAGGAAAATTTTCACTCCCGCGCTTAAAGTCGGGCCTTGATGCGCAGGATTCATTCAGCTCAAACGCCAATAAAGTTCTCCCTGCAACTGCTGCTGCCGCTGCTGGCTTTTTTGGCCCCTCTCTCGAATGCGCGTACGTCCGCTAGAGGCTCCCCGTTCGGAGATATGTGTTTTCTTTTACTTTACTCGTGAATAGTACCGAGGAAAGATATTATAAAGCTTTACTCGTGCGCGGCTCATTCATTCGTTTTTCATTTAAGCGTTGCATATATATGGCGAGCTTTTTCGTCGACTTGCACCTACGTACGCGTATATCTCCGCTAAGTAGCGCGCATTAAATTGAATCGGCCCTGCACGAGTACTTCATCGTTCGGATATGTGCACGATTGAGCGCGTCGAAACGTCGAAACGTTGAAACTGCGTAGGCGCAATATTTTCTCAGAATATGTATAAATTCGCGAGATATTAAAGACCTGCAGCTACGTGTTCGTATAATAATGTGCTAGCTTATACATTGAAAGTCACATGAAAAAGGATAATACCTCGGCGAAACAAAGAGGAAAGAAAGTATATATAGGACGTAATTGGGCGTAGGCTACTCGTGCGCTGATATCTACTCGTGGAATATAATACTCTTATAGACGCACACACGTACGATATATACACACACGAACGAGCTTGCAGCGCGCGAAATTTGTATTATTCATGAGTGTGTGCGCGGAACGACGCGCAAGCTCACGGGAACGCGCGCTGCAGCTTATGCAATATATAAATGTTAATTGTGCTGGCGAAGTTCAGCGCACACGGCGCATATAGGCATTGGCGCTTATACACCTACAAACGAGGGCGAGAGAAAGACAGAGAGCAAGAACCAGAGTTAGCTCGAGTATATATACGGTATAAAAGATGTGTGTTGTGTGTGCGAGTCTCCTAACGTGGAGTATCGTAACGAGAATATAAGCCGAACTCTAAGCGCCGTGTGGGCATGAGCGGGAGTCGCGAGCGAGTTGCACTTCTTGGTTCCTTCTTAGTACCGCGCAAGGCTAATTACACGCGTAGGGCGTATATAGAAGACATACGCAGAGTACAATTATTCTAGTTCCAGCGCTAGTGCCAGGCTGTGTTTCGTAAAATTGCTGTATAACCTTTGGTGCAGGATTATAACGATACAAAAAACAATTGCAATCGAAATTACATAATTCGGAGATGATGTATCTGTAGCAATGCTCAATGTCTGAAAAAGTGGCAGTATAAAATATTTTGAAATTCATTACCATTAGATAGGTTACTTCAGGCGATTTTTCTATGAAAATTATGTTACAAATATGACGTTTATTTTAAATGACCAGAACATGACAATTCATTGCAAAAAATTTAGATAAGTTTTCAACTAGCTCCAATACGATAATAATTCTTTAAGCTTTCACCACTAGATCGCGAATACCTTTATCTGTAAATCTGCAAGTGGTATAGTCAAAATAATTATATAAGTTTAAGTCAAAAAATTTTAAAACAACATGCAATTTCCAATACAGATTCTCAAGCGAGAAAAATTTTTATTTTTCCAAATATTCAAAGAAAAATGAAAAAAAAATTGGACTCCTGAAGAATTAAAAATATCATCTTTCCATCAATAGCAACCTTGGGTTGGAAGCAGTTTTTATTTTTCTTTGCATTTGAAAGAAGTTAGTTAAAAACTAGCCATGAAATGTTTAGCAAGTTCATGAGGCGACGTATACATCGAATTTCCTTCTTTTCAGATTTTTCGTAAGATTTATTTTAACCGAATGTGCCCATTTTTTCAAGCTATGCAATCAAAAAAATTAAAAATATTTGATAATTCCAAATTAGAGCCCTGGAAATACGATTAGTACTTTCCGTTGTAAGTCTTCTGTGAGATTTCGGTAAAGCTCGTCCATGTATAATGAAACATCAAATATTAGCTAAGAAACCGCTAGATGGTGCATGCCCAAATTCTCTGAAATCACAAGAGGAAAAGTAAAAATCTAGGTATAAGTTAGAAAAAAGTTTTGGAATACTATTTAAAGCAAGTTTTATGCTTTATAGATATTTTTTTCTAGATCAGAATATTGTATAGAATATACTATTGTCCTTTTTCAAATATTAAATTTATGAGAGTCACATAATTTAGAAAAATTCAAATTTTTTGGTTGCTGAATAATTTGAATTATTATATAATGCCATCATAAAAAAAATAATAATACCCAAAAATTATTTAATTTGTTGTTGCAGATGATCAGTCGGATGATCGCGGGCTGTCGTCCTTCTTCCCATGCCTGCAGTAGACACTGACGATATGGTAACGTATACACAGTTTATTACACGGCTCTGTACACTCTTTTATTTTTTAATTAATGTCCAGCTCGGCGAGTATCGTTAAAGTCGGCTCCACGGGTGTGCATACCTGTGTCACACCCGCGCCTACTCTAATAATATTTACGCTCGTGCAAGCTGCGAACTTTTATATGAAAGCTCGCCGAATGTGCGGGCATTAATCACGCGTGCGTCTGTGGCCCAGGCGCACACAATTACTATCTGTATGTGATGTATGCATAATAACGAACTCGTGTGTCTCTTCTGTTTTTGCGTGCGACGCCGTTTGTTTTGGCCCTGCATCGCCACGTCGACTGCGTTAACTGCGCCCAACGAGCAGGACACAGTATGGCTCCGGTACCACTCTACTGGCACGCCTGTGGGAGTAGTAGTCTCGCCTCGCATGCCTTCGTCTTCCTCTTACTCCTGCTGCTGCCGCGATCTACTACAGGTACGATACGCATATAAATAACATGTATATTTTTCATATTATGTGTATAATAATAACTGCAAAGACGAAGATGACGTAGTAGACTTGTACTCGAGAGGCCGTCGTCGCAGCATCTTATTTTTATGCTCCCGTTGTGTGCGAGTGTGTGGGCGTGCGTGCATGTGTGTAGAACACGTAAAAGTCGTTATAGCGCGCGCGGTTGCTCGTAATTCTCAAGAAACACGTATACATATTATGTACAACGACTTTACTGTTTATTACACCGTGCAGCGTAGCAGCAGCGATGCTGTCTATATAGTATATAGCAGTAGAAGTCTCGAGCTCCAGAACAACCGCGCCGCGGCCACTTATATTGCTTTCGCCGCTGCGCTCATCGGCTTTTGTCCAATTTAATGTGTTACTCGCACGACCTGTGCATGTGCGTGTGAGCTGTAAGCTTTCGTCATAATTTTTAACGAAAAAAGAAAGATAGATATAGATGTAAGGACGAAGAAAGGAAAAAAAAAATAAAGAACCGGGGAAAAAAGAGGTGCGCTAGTGCAATTCGGGCAAAAAGTTTATATCTAGATGTTGTATGCGTTGAGCTGAGATCGCAACTTTCGTGTATATAGCATACGTACAGGGAGAAACGTTATCTCTCTCTCTCTCTCTTGTCGCGACCTAAAAGTATTCTTTCTCCCAAGACGCTCGCGCGCTACACGTCTTGCACATTTTTGTATTAAAAGCAACGAGCCGCAGGAGAGAAGGCGCGCGTGAGAGAAAGAGAGAAAGAAAAAGAAAGCCTAGACGAGCGCGCTGACACTTTGCACAATCAAAGTGCATCATCTTACAGATATACTCGTGCGTGTCTTTATATGTAGGTGTGTTAGAAAACTTACGCGCGCCTCGCAGCTATATACACAAACACGTACAATATAAACATCTTTTAGTGCTGCAGTAGTTACGTTAATGCATCGTATAAACAACAACGAGCGAATTGCTCTCGAGCAGCAGCAGCAGCAGCAGCATCAGCACTAGACTCTCGTGGACGAGAGTGACTTGCAAGCTCGCTAGAGACGTCCTGTAGCATCGCATACGTACATATATAATGCAACAAAGACTCGGATTATTTCGACGCAGTATAAGTACGGAGTAGCGGCAGCAGCAAAGCTGGACATTTCGTCCACCCCGCAGCTCGTCCATTCTAGTTTGCATAACTGCAGCGAGCTATTATAAGGACGATACGCGCCAGCGATAAAACGCGTTGGTGTCTCTGTTGGTGACTCTCGTGTAGTTGCCGCCACCGCGTGCGTAAGTGGAACAACTCGGAGTATGGTCAGACGCGCCCTATATCCTCGCATATATTTTCAATGTGTTGTATAGCTTCCTCTGCGAAGTCGCGCAGTGCGAATAGTGCATGTGAGTATACTATGCTTTCGTTGTGATGAATTTCACTAAAAAATGTACACCGAGAGCTACTGCTGCTGCTGCTGCTGCTGCTGCTGCTGCTATATCAAAGGAGCGGAAGAGCTGAGATAGCGCCAGATTTTGTCGAGTGGCTGCGCGAGTTTTTTGTTTGTTTATTTTTTTTCCCCCAGCGATAAGGGCATGATGCGTATGTATATATAGTGTACGCGCATACAACGAAACTTCAAGCCGAAGGTATTTTAATAATATTTAATTAAAAACCGAAACCATATCGCTCTCATTAAACATTCATCAAAGGGGAAACGGAGACGCGGGCCTATATAGCTCTATATACGCGATGAATATTCGTGCGTGTGTGTACAGGGCAAGTGTGACGCTTTATATAGGATATGAGTTGCACGCGCTCGACACCGAGAGAGATTATATAGCTATATTTAAGAGCAAAGCTGGAGCGACGAAAAAAAAAACGAAAAAAAAAACAACTACAAACTATATTTTCAAACTTATGAATATTTATAACGTGGAGAGTACACACACACATGGTCGGGCGGGCGCGCAAGAGCTTTTCACGTCCTTTTATATATTCAGCGCAGTGATAGCGCGAGTACATATATAGCATGAATGCGGGAAGGATGCAGGAGACTGCCTATATAACGTATATAGAGCTGCGTATGCGTGTCTGTGTGAGTGTGTGCCAAAATAGGAGCGAGGGAGAGAGACTGAGAGAGAGAGACAAAGAGCAAAGAAAAAGGACTCGTTCAATTTTATCAACTACTTTTATTTCGCTCCAGTTAAGCGTGCGCGCGCGAGAGCTGGGAGAGAAAAGAGCGAGCGGCGCTGGGCCTTCTTTGGCCGCGTACACGATAAATTTCCAGACCGTTAAAATTACTCGCGCGTGTCCCAGTTCACCGCGTGTGTGTGTGTACGTGTGCAGCCACTCACACACACGCTCGCCGCGTCTATATATAATACTTGGCTGTCTGTACGTATATATACCGCAGCTTGCGAGTCGTACACAGTACCCCATGGAGGCTGGGCCGCGCGTCGAAGGTATACCTTTAATACAACGTATAATAGACAGAGAAAGAAAAAGAATAAAGACCGTTGAAGTGGGAGGAAAGAAGGGCCGAAGGGAGGTTGAGGGAGGAGAGAGGAGGGGGAGGAAAGCCCGCGTAGCGTGATTTACGGTCTAATGATGCCGAGTAAATGTCAGAAGTAGCGCTAATGGCTCTCGAGCGACCGAGACACGTCGTTTTCTAGTTCTCTCTTTCTCTTTCTCTCTCTCTCTCTCTCTCTCGCTTGCTCCGTGCCTCGTGTACCCACCCCCTCTGGCGTCTCTGCACCTTTACATTCGTTATATAACGCCGGTGCCCCCCCGCCCTCCCCCCACACACACACACACATCTATTCTCTGGCAGGGCACATGCATATAGCAGGTGCTCGTTTTAAATGCGCACACAGTGTGCACTCGTGCAGCAGCCTCATGCAGTCGCGAGCGAACCAACTCGACGTTGCCTGTATATACACGTGTTTACATGGCTCGTTATTAATCGAGATTTCGCCAACATGCAGACAGAGCGAGTGCGTTTGGTGAGCGAGCGAGAGAGAAGCTCAAATGCGCAGAAATGTTTTTTCGACCGTACACAAAGCCTCGGAGGGCGTAACAAACGTTCTCGGTTACATTAAGCATTTTTTTCACGCGCGGACAAGGGGACATCGGCTCAAAAACTGACCGATCTCCGCTCTGCGACTGTCACACTCGACGACGCGAGCTTTTATCCTTCTGTGCGCGTCGAGCTGTCGACTCGATCGACGCCGCTTCATCATTTGCTCGTGCGACGCGAGGACTCAACGAAGAACTTATTGACTTTGCGCTTCTGCGATTTCTTCTCTTCCGTCTAGTCATTTTTTTTCTCTCTAACGCGAAATCCAGATTATTGGAAGAGGTCACTCATCGGGACGACGCCTTCCGCCCATCCCGCTCTTACCATACGTAATTATACCCTCGCGAGTTAGCCGATAGAGAAAAAAAGAGCTGACGCCGTGCGCGCAGCAGAATTGCCGCGTTGACGAGCGAATTAATGAAGCTGAGAGACAAATAACGTAAGGGATACCCTTGATTCAAGATGAGAGTAATTTCTGGGCATTTACGTAACATTTCGACCTCGCGAATGAATATGCACGCTGGTATATATTTTTGAACTTGTTCGAGGTCTGTGAACCATGACTGTACTCCAAAAGTATTTATCGGACCAGACTTGATAGATGAATTGAAACCATCGTTTATCATTTCATTATCGGTTACACAATAATTTGAGCGATCAAGACAAATTTTTTAAATATATTTGTAACTTTAACGTTGAATTTCGCATAGGGTTCAAAGATCAGGGACTTTCGTGATTTCATTGAAATTATGAGCCCAAATAGAATAAGGGCATTGGTTCTATTTAGATGGCTATTGCACGAAGGATTCAATATAGAATTTAATTTTTCAAATGACAATTTTTGCCATTTGAATCGATCCAAAACAAGATAGATCGTGAAATGCGCAAAAGCTTAAATTTTTTTCAAAGGTAACCTTGATAGCACAAAAGTTCCAATTGTACCGAGCTACCACGAGCGATGTTATGGCACGTATCAAACTGGGTATGATGAAATTTAGTCGGCAAAAAGTACAACATGCTTACGAATAAATGTTATGTTAACACACTATTAATGTTACTGGCTATGCTTAATCACTTTTGGATTTGCTTTACTTCTCTCGCTCTGTCGAAATATTTTTGGAACTAAATCGCTCTTTGTTTGATTGATATCATTATTATTCTACATGTCATGATGCATCCACGCAGGCGTTTTTATCGCGCTTTTCTGGACGATTGCTTTTTGGTGCCTTTCTTTTTTCTAGCTTTAGGAACAACTTGCGCAATCAAATAAATCCTTTTTTTACTGCAGAACTGTTACCTCGCGATCGTAAACTTGAAATGTAAAAGGCGTCAAACTCGATGGAAAAGAAAATAAAATTACAAAGACTACTAATTAATGTATCCAGTGTATTTTGCAATTGAATGCGTACTCCGCGTATCTCGCTGCACGCGGTGGAGCTTACAATTCGTGCTCGTGATTTGTATCTCTAAGCCCAATGCAGTGCTTGTAAAGGGTAGTGTTTCTCGATCTCCGACGACCGATATTCGAGTCCTTATTGGCAATCTTCGCTTTTGTGCGCTATATTATACCGAGAGAGCTTGTAAAAGCCGTCGCGCACTCGTACGTATAAACGAACACATATAGAGGCCATTGTCCACGGCGACGACGGTCGAAAACACTCGAGCACCGGCTGGGCCCTCTCTTGTGCAGGCATCGAAAGGATCCCTTTTCGCTGCTAAGCATCAGCCCACTCGAGTGCGTAATTTACGTCATTAAGCTAACGACGCCCTTACGCGCGGGGCTTGTTTTTGCTCTTACTATACGTATATTATATAAACGTCTCTAGCGCATCTCGCGTTTACTTCACAAAGTCAAGTCTCACATATAGTGTACGATGTATATATACTGCATATATTGTTACGCGAATATCGCGTGAAATGGAGTATTCG